CTTTGTGAATTAGACTATTCCCATGTAGTTGTGAGCTGAAAAAATGTCACAGTCAAAGATAGCATGCTGATAAGTACATTTAAGATTGATGAACTGGAAACACAAAATATTGTATATACTTCTGAAAAGGCTATGTTGTATTGAAAAGGAATTCCAGCCTACATTATTATGTTCTTCTGTTCATAATCCTGGATTTAAACTGATCTGGCCCCATTTACTTCACTAAGACATAATAAAATGAAAATCCAGGTAGTTTTTGTGCCACATTCTGCTTTACATTGCCAGCATCTCTTTGCAACAATTTTTCTCTTGTCACTATGGGAAATTTCCTACTTTCCTGATTTGGCCAAGAGGGCACCAGGCGATAGAGGTGCAAAATAGCTACTATAATAAAAGCAACAAACACGTAATAGGCCATTAGCCACATAATGAGATTCTATATGAAATCAGGTCAGTAGAGCATGTAGCTTTTTAAATGAGACTTTACAACTCATGTGCTTTGCCTAAGCAAGAACTACAGTAATTTACTGGTCATATAGACAGTGCATGATGTAATGTGGGAATAGGGCACATGTTAGGGGAATGCGCTACTTTTTCTTCTTAAAACACTGTCTTTCCAGGCATGCACATCTTACACTGTTACATGTCTGAGACTTTAAGCATGCAAATAAAGCTATGCTACCTCCCAAATGACCAACTGCAAAACCAAATACTAGCTAGCTTGCCAAATACAGACTAAAGCAAGATCATGTTTGAATAAAAAGTCTTTTTGTCTTCAACCTGCTCTGCTCCTAAATCAGCACTTTTATCTATTGAGACCCATGCATCAACATGGCATTAGATGTAGCTGTATTTGTGCAGTTTCTGTGTTGCAGGAAAATGAACTAACTATGCTGGACAGGCAGGACGTGCTCAGCAAGCTCAACACTTTTGACTTTCTTAACACTTTTTCCAGCACTGAGGATTTTGAATATTGAAACTGAGTTCCATTAACTATTAGCACTCCCTCGCAGCTCTCTCTGAAGCACCCATTTGATGGTTTGGCTTTGGACCTATCTGGTCCTGCGCTGCCCTGATTCTGATGTGAGTTCAAGCATCTGAAATCTCAGTGATCCTGCTGTCCACTGATTTTCATTGGGAAACAGAAATAACTTATTTTTCTTTTTCACCTCACAGCCAACCTGCGCTGAATCCTTGCAATAAATAATTATTTTAAACTTTTATATATGTATACTGCGTAGGAAGTGAGAGCTGGACCATTAAGAAAGCTGACCGCTGAAGAACTGATGCCTTTGAATTGTGGTGCTGGAGGAGGCTCTTGAGAGTCCCCTGGACTGCAAGGAGAACAAACCTATCAATTCTAAAGGAAATCAAACCAGAGTGCTCATTGGAAGGACAGATCCTGAAGCTGAGGCTCCAGTATTTTGGCCATCTCATGAGAAGAGAAGACTCCTTGGAAAAGACCTTGATGTTGGGAAAGTGTGACGGCAAGAGGAGAAGGGGACGACAGAGGATGAGATGGTTGGACAGTGTCTTCAAAGCAACCAAGATGAATTTGACACAACTACAGGAGGCAGTGGAAGATAGGAGAGCCTGGCGTGCTCTGGTCCATGGGGTCACAAAGAGTCGAACACGACTAAACAAGTAGACGACGACTGCGTAGTGGGTTTTTATTTTTGTAATTTGAAGAAGGAGCCACAGAGGTTGAAGACTGGTGGTACATGGTCTTTAAGTTGCAAGCTTTTTCCCAAAAGTCTATAGGTCTTATGAGATCTGTCTATTTTTGGGTTATTATTAAGGTCTGATCAACCTCTTTCTGAAGCCTATGGCTTAAAACTCTATGAGGGATATTTGGAAAATCAAAATGGGTTTTAAGACAGAGAGAGATTGATTCTAGGAATCTTCCTTGGGTATAAAAATGTGGAAAACATGTTTTACTTTGAATCGTATTAAATCAATTTTACTAAAAAATGTGGGGTTTTTTTGTACTCTTCAACTTATTGCAGTTGTCCTTGTCCACCATAGTCTCTGCAAAGAGCGGTAAGCATGCTCAGAAGGACCCCAAAATCCCCGCTGTGGCGTTTCCAGCCCCAGGAGGCTGAAGGTCCTGCCATGGCATGCTCTACGGCACTGGTTCTTAACCTTGGGTTACTCAGGAGTTTTGGACTGCAACTTCCAGAAGCCTTCACCACCAGCTGTCCTGACTGGGGTTTCTGGGAGTTGCAGTTCAAAAGCATCCGAGTAACAAAGGTTAAGAACCACTGCTTACGGCCAGCCCTTTTTCTTTTTCACTTTAGTATCAATCTGTACTGAATCCTTGCAATAAATAATTGTTTTAACCTATTATAAATGTATACTGCAGAGTGGGTTTTATTTTTGTAATTTGCAGAAGGAGCCACAGAGGTTGAAAATTGGTTAAGGTGACAATGTAGAAATATTACTTGGTAAATCTTCAATATCTTTGAGCACCCATCAGTGTGGAAATACAACTTAACAAACTCTAAAAACACTGACGCTTTTGATCATTCATAACAGAAGAGGTTTCTTATTGTTGATTTTTAACCATTGCTTTAAAATTGTCTCTTATTTAGAAGGTCTAATTATTTAATTTATTGTTACAGTATATCAGAAGGGCCGTGAAATCATTCATATCAGGCTTTACAACCATTGCTTTAAAATTCCCTCCTATTTAGAAGATCTAATTATTTAATTTATTGTTCCAGTATATCGGAAGGGCCCCAAAATCACCGCTGTGGAATTTCAGCCCCAGGTGGCATAAGGTCATGCCAAGGCATGCCCTACAGGCACCGCTTTTCTAGCCATACCTCTTCAACAGTGCCCCATTGGCCTACTGGGCTGTGGGGGTGACACTTCCATTCGGGGGACCAATCCTGAGGCCAGGCTCTGGTCACGGGGGATCCTGGACTCTAGGTGGCATCCACAACCCCTTACGTCACCCCTAGACCCGCCCCTTCTGCCGGAAGGGGCCAGGATTGATTCCTGACCAGAATTCCTGCCTTAAAGGGGGCAGGGAACCTGTCAAAATTGGGTTTGACGAATGCTAGTCCCTTATTCTCCTGAGGTGATGGGTCCTGTGACCATGATCTTAATTTTTTTGATGATCAGCTTCAGACCATTTCTTGTTCTTTCCTCTTTCACCCTCACTAGGAGTTTCTTTTTCTGCCATCAGAGTGGTATCATCTACATATCTGAGGTTGTTGACATTTCTTCTGGCAATCTTAATTCTGGTTTGGGATTCATCCAGTCCAGCCTTTCACATGATTTATTCTGCATATAAGTTAAATAAGCAGGGAGACAATATAGAGCCTTATCGTACTCCTTTCCCAATTGGGAAACAATAGAATATTACAGTTCATCATAGCAAGAGGAGGAAAAGCAGGTATCAAAGCGATCACTCAGCGGAATCCTGCAGCACTTTGATCCCTTTCCCTCTCCTTTTGTTAGCCCCACAGGGCTAAGCAAGAAGGGGGAAAGCAGTGATCAAAGTGATCCTGCAATGACTTGGAGATCCCTTTGATCCCTTCCCTCCTGTTCTTATGCTGCGCCAGCATATCAACAACCTCTGCCAGCATAGGAAGAGGAGCAAAGGGGAACCAAGCCATCCCCCAGCCTTGGTGGTGGATTCCCTTTGAACAGGCTTTAGCAAGCTGCCCAAAGGGAAAATTCCTGTCTGCTTATGCTACTGAGGAACAGCTGATCTGTGGGGCTTAAGCAGATAGGGAACAAAGGGACAAATATAAAAGGGTTATATTCGTTGCTTCATATTCGTTGGGGTCTCTGGACCCCAAGAATATGAAGCAACAAATATCTGACAAATCAGGGATATTTAATGAATATTCTGATTTCTTTTTATATTTGTCCCCATGGTTAATTCTGATTGGGTCAAAGTGCTTCGTCTGACAAATATCACATTCCAGTCCTTCCCATATGAACTTTCTCTTTCTCTTTCTCTTTCTTTTTCTCTTTTTCTTTGTGTTGTACAATTACATTTTCCAAGAAAGTTTGGCATCTGGCATCCAAGGTTGCGCCCTTCTCTTACACCTTTTGATCTCCTGTTTTCACTTTTTTCTGCCACCTTCTGTTTTCTTGCTTTGTACTTTGGAAACAGCGTAAACAGTCTCTGTCTGTTTTTCACTTTTGCCTTCTGTCCTCTTGGCCTGCATGCTTCACTCCCGGCATTTGCTGTCTCAGTATTTCAGCTTCACATTCATGATTTTCACCTTCAGTTCTCCAATATTATACTAGTGGCGTCAGTGTGTGCTTTTGGCTTACAGTGTAAGATTTCTAAACCTGAACTTTTGGAATAATCTTTTCAGACTCTATTGTGGCTTGCCATTTCAGGCACTTAGCTTCTTAGTGTTGACTTCTGGCCTTCATCGTTGCATGCTGGTGCCCTAACCTTTGGCATGTTGACTTCACTCTTTGCTTCCAGCTTCTTGCCTCTAGCTTTGTCCTTTGGGAATATTGCCACCTCTCCCCTATTTTTAATACCGGGTCTCTGACATTTGTTTTCTGGTCTCTAGGTTTGAGTTCTATGCTGCAGGCATTTATCCTGCTGTTTATTGATCTTCCAGTTCACACTGTTTGATTCCAGTTTCTGGTTTCCAGCTTTACATTCTCCATTTCCAGCCTCTGGTCTCCAGATTAAGGGACAGATTTGTGGGCAAGATGACTCTCCTGGTACAGACAGACAGGGAGACTTGGGTTTTAGCTGGCCACTATATTGAATTTGCAGGGAGGTATAACAGAAGGGATATTATATGGATTGCGGGAAAGCAAATGAGTTAGGATGTGACTACATTGGAAAGCTGAATTGGACTGATTTGATTCACACTTGTATTATATTTGAAATCACAGTCAGTATTCACACAGGCTGCAAACTGATTCAGGAGTTCACCATTCATACGGGATACAATGTGATTCACATTCCAGCTCACAGCCCGCGTTCTTTTCTTCCTCTGGTCCCACTTCTGCTGATCCTTCCTTCTTCTGGTCCTGCCTCTGCCGATCCTTTTATGATGTAAATACAGAAAATAATGATATTGAGGACTTGGCAATAAGGTGATAGGGTGATCTAGTGTTAATCTCATATATGTAAGAAATTTTTTAAAAAATCAAAAAATGGAAGACAATTGGAGCAGAGGAAAGAATGTGGGGCCATGTTCCCCCAGTTCTGAACCTCATGCTCCAACTGCCTATGTCATCAAAACACCATGCCCCCCATCTTTACAAGAACATATCACAACTAACCATGCAAGAAAAAACTGTTTGAATCATTCCAGCTTGAAAAAGTAGAAGCCATTTTAAGAGCAAAAAGGGGTGGACTGATTCAAATCTGAGAAAGTCAGCCACATCATGTGGTCAGTAAAAAATACTTTTTGAGCAAAAATTAATATAAGACCCTATCTTATTTTCGGGGAAACACAGTCGTTAACAAAATGCCTACTGTGAGGGTGTAGTCAGTCACAAATGGTCGGGAATACCCTCAGTCCTTTTCTCTGTTTCTGTGGATTAGCTCCAACACTTTGTGACTGACTACACACCCACATCAGTTTCCTTGCTTTGCACTCGTGGCCTGGCTTCTTGTTTTGGTAGTCAGTTCTTGTTCTCTGGTTTCTGAATTAGCCCTGGCTTCCTATCTTTTATTTGCTGCTGCCCTGCTGAACTTTCTTTATGTCCCGGAGCACCTCTGTCATGCTTCATCAAGAGAAGGAGGTGTAGATGAATTGGTGTCTGGTGCGGGGGAGGGGGGACTGCTCTCTCCCCCACAGGTGCAGCATTCTATTTGACTTCACTTCTAAATATAAAAATGTATCTGCACTACTTAAGTTTTTCTTTAACATAGAAAATTGAGTCTGCATGTTTTGTTGTTGTTTAGTCGTTTAGTCGTGTCAGACTCTTTGTGACCCCATGGACCAGAGCACGGCAGGCCCTCCTGTCTTCCACTGCCTCCCAGAGCTGGGTCAAATTCATGTTGGTCGCTTCGATGACACTGTCCAACAATCTCGTTGCATGTTATGAGACCTCAGTTTATTCAGAACACGGCAAAGAAAAAGTGATGACAGACTGACTTTTAAGTCTTAATTATTTATGATATGTTCATAATTTGATTATGATTGCCTTTTACTGCCTTTGCAAATTTGCAGTCCTGGCCCTAAACTTTTGTTTAGGAGGTCTTATAGAAGCTCACACTGTTTATTTGAAACACTTGCATCTGCAATAGTGTAAACTGTTTTACAGCTACTTAATGTTTAGTGGGTGCAAGGCTGTGATTGAATAATAAATAAAATTGAGTCATTACAGAATTGCTGTGTTGCTATCTTCCATTATGCCCTCTTCTACTTTGCAATTCAGAACTGTCTAGCAAAATTAACATGGAAAAAGGAAAAGGAGAGAGAGAGAGAGAGAGAGAGAACAGGTTTACAATCAAAACCCACTTCTTCAGATACTTCTTTGCTTTCTGAGAGCAACAGCTTAGGTAACTTGGTTTTTACCCATGGACTGACAGACAGTAGGGAGGAGTCTGAACTTACCGAAGTTTGTGTCATGTCCAAACAGAGTTTTAACTGTTTGGGAAAGAGAAAAGCTTCTGCCTGCAGACTGTATGGTGAGAAAGGATGAGCATCTTAGTCTTTTCTTCTCTGCTGGTTTTTCATCTGCAAATCATAATTTCCATCTGTGCCAGTTCTGACTCTGAGACAGCCAAGTCATGCTTTGAAGTGACAAAACACAACTTTAGTCCAGTGCTTATAAAAGAAAGAGCCCTCATTATATTAATGGTAAGATAATGACACATAATTAGTGACTCTAACCTCACCCTCTCTGAATATTCTGACTGTTTCTCCTCTGGCACAAATACTGCAGTTCTTCCATTCATCTTTTATTCCCGTTCTTCAGTTCCTCTTCATCATTTCTCAGACATGTGGTGAATGCAACTCTGCTTGAGAATCCTTATTTGGGATGACAGAATTACATTGGCCTCAGTAAGTATCCCTTGACACTCCTTTAGCCTGGTTTGTCTAGTAATTGACAGTTCTAACACTAGGCATTATTGCTAGGAAACCATTCTGACTCCTCCCACAGATGAAGTCTATGGAAGGATGACATCAGAAAGCTAAGCAGTGGGGTCTGTTCTGTTGCTATGCCAGCCTGCTGAGTGAAAACCACTGTGGATGGACCAAACCTTGAAAGTACATATAGCAACCCTGACAAACGTGAGATTGAATCATAACTTCAAGTGAGCCTTCCACAAGCTGACAGCTTTCCAATGAGTTGGATAACAACTCCCATCATCCCTAAATCAACAGGAATAGTCCCAACACCACCTTGTAGAATGATCTATTGATTTATTATATACTATTGTATCCATCAGCAAACCATTAAAAAATCACCAACAGAAGCAAGCTGTCAACCTCATACAGGTCTTCATCTAGGATGAACAACACAGAGCTGGGAATTATGCAGAGAAAATGTAGAAATTGTGGCCAGAGGACTGCAAAAGATCAGTCAACATCCCAATCCCAAAGAAGGGCAGTGCCAAAGAACGCTCCACCTCCTGTACAATTGCACTCATTTCACACTGGCCACTGTTGAGTTTTCCAAACTTGCTGGCATATTGAATGTAGCACCCTAACAGCATCATCTTTTAAGATTTTAAATAGTTCGACTGCCACCTCTTCTTGACGTCTTCTGCTTCTGTTAGGTCCCTCCCATTTTTGTCTTTTATCATGTTCATCTTTGCGCAAAATGTTCCTCTAATATCTCCAATTTTCCTGAAGAGCTCTCTGGTCTTTCCTTTTCTGTTATCTTCCTCTATTTCTTTGCATTGTTCATTTAAGAAGGCCCTCTTGTCTCTCCTTGCTATTCTTTGGAAGTCTGCATTCAATTTTCTGTAACTTTCCCTATCTCCCTTGCATTTTGTTTCCCTTCTCCTCTCTGCTATTTCTAAGGCCTCGTTGGACAGCCACTTTGCTTTCTTGCATTTCCTTTTCTTTGGGATGGTTTTTGTTGCTGCCTCCTGGACAATGTTACGAGCCTCTATCCAAAGTTCTTCAGGCACTCTGTCCACCAAATCTAGTTCCTTAAATCTGTTCTTTACTTCCACTGTGTATTCATAAGGGATTTGGTTTAGATTATACCTGAGTGGCCCAGTGGTTTTTCCTACTCTCTTCAGTCTAAGCTTGAATTTTGCTATGAGAAGCTGATGATCAGAGCCGCAGTCAGCTCCAGGTCTTGTTTTTGCTGACTGTATAGAGCTTCTCCATCTTTGGCTGCAGAGAATATAATCAATCTGATTTCGATATTGCCCATCTGGTGATTTCCATGTATAGAGTCGCCTCTTGTGTTGTTGGAAAAGAGTGTTTGTGATGACCAGCTTATTCTCTTGACAAAACTCTATTAGCCTTTGTCCTTCTTCGTTCTGAACTCCAAGGCCAAACTTCCTGTTGTTCCTTTTTTTTCTTTGGTTCCTACTTTAGCATTCCAGTCCCCTAGAATGAGAAGAACATCTTTCTTTGGTGTCAGTTCTAGAAGGTGTTGTAAATCTTCATAGAATTGTTCAATTTCAGTCTCCTCAGCAATGCTGGTTGGTGCATAAACTTGGATTATTGTGATGTTGAATGGTCTGCCTTGGATTCGTATTGACATCATTCTATCATTTTTGAGATTGTATCCCATTACAGTTTTTCCCATTCTTTTGTTGACTATGAGGGCTACTCCATTCCTTCTACGGGATTCTTGCCCACAATAGTAGATATGATAATCATCTGAGCTGAATTCACCCATTCCTGTCCATTTTAGTTCACTGATGCCCAGCATGTCGATGTTTATTCTTGCCATCTCCTGTTTGACCACCTCCAGCTTCCCAACGTTCATAGATCTTACATTCCAGGTTCCTATGCAGTATTTTTCTTTGCAGCATCAGATTTTCCTTTCACTTGCAGGCGTGTCCGCAGCTGATCGTCCTTTTGGCTTTGGCCCAACCACTTCATTAGCTACTTGTACTTGTCCTCTGCTCTTCCTCAGTAGCATGTTGGACGCCTTTCGACCTGAGGGGCCCATCTTCCAGCGTCATATCATTTAGCCTTTTGTTTCTGATCATGGGGCATTCTTGGCAAAGATAATGGAGTGGCATTGCCATTTCCTATTCCAGGTGGATTGCATTTAGTCAGAACTCTCCACTGTGTCCTGTCCGTCTTGGGTGGCCCTGCACGGCATAGCCCATAGCTTCTCTGAGTTACTCAAGCCCCTTCGCCACGACAAGGCAGCAATCCATGAAGGGAATTATTTATAGCCTGCCCTATATTGCCAGCTCTCAGAGTAGATTACAGAACAATGTAAACAGAAAATCCTTACAACAGTTTATAATTAGACAGTTTAAAATGCATAAAATAAAACATTAAAACCACTGCATCAAAGCATTGAGTATTTGCCCTCCTTTTATTTTTTTTAAAAAAATAGTTTCCAGATTGTGGAATCACATTCCTTTAGTAGGAGAAGACATGCAATCTGAGCCTTTGTAGCTGCTGTAGTTCTTTTATCTCTTTGGGTGATTCTGTGTAATTGATTCTTCTGTAGAAATAGAAGAAATCAAACAATTAGTTCTGTAAGTGAAAGTCAATACAGAAAGAAAGGAATCTTGACATTATAAGCAATTACATTGTCAGAGACCTAAAAGCAGCCACATAGACTGAGTTCCTTACTTGAACACAGCAGGAGGAAACAATTCAACTGATTAATCTAACATGATTTGGGAATAAGCAGAACTCCCATAAAAGACTCCTGAGGACACTAAAATAATCAGATGCCTCTCCTAAAGCTGGTGATGGCTCAATCAAGCATTATATATATCTCAGATTTTCCTCATTCTATCTTCTGCCTGAAGGAAGAAGAAATGGCAAGAGGAACATTCTGATTCTACTGTGTCTTTAATTGATAGTTTTAAGCCGGTGGTGTAGTTATTGGCATTACATTTTCAGTAGTTGGCTGACAGAAGTGAGATCTGCAACAAAATGTTTCTATACATCTATAAGAAGGGTTTGCTAGATCTTAGGGTACTGACTAAAGTCTCAGAAAATTGCTGTGCCTCCCCAAGTCTCCAGATGAGGAGACAAATCTTGGCTTTAGCAGCATTAGAGGGGGGAAAAGTTTGATTTTATTGTATGTGGTAATTTTACTGCTTGGGTGCCTATCTTTTTGCCACTTCCAAATGGCCCCTTGGTTCACTCTCTCAATGCAAAAGTATTTGTACTTGTAATATCCAGGCTGAGGGAAAATCAGCATGGCTTCTGTAAGGGTAAGTCTTGCCTCACAAACCTTTTAGAATTCTTTCAAAAGGTCAACAGGCTTTCATTGGCTAGTATCTGCAAGAGACCTACATTCAAGTGAAACTTTTTCCAAGTTCCTGAGAAATGAGTCAAGCAAGACAAAAGCTGCCTTCCACTGCAAATTACTGTGATATCCTAATTGCACTAGAACTTTGTACAAATGTGGAATGGTTGGTATTTTAAACACAACGCAAAGGCAAATTTCTCAGTAACTAGGTTTTCGTTGTGTGCTAGATGCTCCAGGCAAGAAGTATTTCGTATTTTATAACCTACATACTTTGACACAAAATCATTTGAAGAACTTGCAGTGCTTTGTATTCTTTGTTCAACAAAAACGGCCTGTTACGGGATTAATTGGTTTTCAATGCACTGTAGGTCAATGGAGACTTGACCTACCGCCTTCCAATACGGATTAAGTTCTTAAGTCAAGACCCCACTGTAATATCCAAGCTGAGGGGAAATCAGCATGGCTTCTGTAAAGCTAAGTCTTGCCTCACAAGCTTTTTAGAATTCTTTCAAAAGGTCAACAGGCTTTCATTGGCTAGTATCTGCAAGAGACCTACATTCAAGTGAAACTTTTTCCAAGTTCCTGAGAAATGAGTCAAGCAAGACAAAAGCTGCCTTCCACTGCAAATTACTGTGATATCCTAATTGCACTAGAACTTTGTACAAATATGGAATGGTTGGTATTTTAAACACAACGCAAAGGCAAATTTCTCAGTAACTAGGTTTTCGTTGTGTGCTAGATGCTCCAGGCAAGAAGTATTTCGTATTTTATAACCTACATACTTTGACACAAAATCATTTGAAGAACTTGCAGTGCTTTGTATTCTTTGTTCTTTGAAGTTCAGTGTATTACTGTTTTGCATATATAGCCACCCGCTAAATGCTTCTTGCAGTTTCTATCATAAATAGCAGCTATTGATTCTCCACAATAGTAACATAATTCTGGGAAGCTGAATTCTTCCTTGAGCCCAACCTCGGCAATCAAACTATCTCACAGCAGCCATTTAAGCATCTATCAAATGCCCTAAGCTGTGGCTTAAATTGGAAAATTAATCTTCCATCTTTTATGTGACTGTGGAAGTAAATGGAACTTATTATACAGTATTTATGTCAGTCATAATACAAGAAAATAATAAATGTCTTCAACTTTAGGATCAGAAAATAGTTAGCAGTTTCTGATAATACAAGATAGGACCAAGCTACCAAGCTAACTTCTCCAAAACATTACTAAAACACCTTGCTATTAAATAAACTGAGAGCTAAGATTTCAGCATTTCAGATTGGAAATGCAGTTTATACCTATGAAAATTTTGAAGCAGTGGGAGAACATGCAAATGTTTGTTGTGAATGAGTGAGATCCATGGTAAATACTTGCACATGTTAAAGAATAATTGCAGATTATAATAATAGTCACACCTGGCTGCAATATTTGACTATTTGCCTTCACTTGTTAAGGCAGCCAGAGAGAGATCTAATTGGTTTATATATGCATGCTGGTTACATGAGTCAAGCCAGAGAGAGATCTAATTGGTTTATATAGGAATGCTGGTTACATGGGTCAAATGATGTACAGTGGTGTCTCGCATTACGAGCGCTCTGTTTGACGACGAAATCACATCACACGCTCCGTTTGACGATGAAATCGCATCATGGCGAAGATTTTGCGATCACAAAAGCAATTGCAAAATGATGTTCCCTATGGGGGAATTTCGCTTTGCGATGATCAGTCCCCTTTTTCGCTAACCGATTATCGCAAAGCGATGAT